GATAATAATTAATGTTATGAATTGATAGTTATGTTTGTGTAACTAAATGTCACGTGAACACGTGATCTTGTACTACTGTTTCGTGACTAATTAATGTGTGCTACAGGCTATAAATATTTGTTAAAAGTAATTATTAAATTATTACTATTTGTTACATGAACTAATATTAAATTCTAAATATTATCTTGAGGGTTATTATTATTGCAGGTGTTTTTAATATTATTTTATCATTATATTTTCATTCTGTAACAACGTCATTCTCGGGTGGGTTATAGTCCATATTAAGTGATATAATAGTAGTTAATTTAAATGTCATTTTTTTTAAAAAAAAAAGTTTATTTTGAATAATATAAAGTTTTTTTTAATAGACTTAATTAATGATTTTTTTTAAATATTGTAAAATGATTTTTTTTTTAGTATTAACATCAGTTCAAAATTATTAAAATATTTAAAAAATTTATCTTTTTAGAATATATAATAGTTTGTTTTTTTATGCATAATTGATTTTTTATCTAGAAGACTACAATTGATTTGTATACTTATTAATGATTTTTCCAAAAAAAAATCTATTTTACTATTTTTTAAAAAAAAAAATAATTTAAAATACAAATAATAATACTTTATTTTAAAGAATTATTTATTTCTTAAAAAAAAATTAATCAATAAATCTCAGGTCTCAAAATATAATTCTGCATGTTTTTTTTTTTTAGCAATAACAGTATAAATAAAAATATCATTTATTTTTTTAGAAATTTAAAGAAAAATAAATAATAATTTCTTAATTTCTAAATAAAATCTGTTTTACCATATTATTTTTTTTAGAAATAATATTTCTCTAAAATAATTTATTTATTTGTTTACCTGTTTTTTTAGTAATAATTTTATTTTTTTCTAAAATATCAATTTTGAAATTAGAAAAAAATAAATTTTAATTTTTTTTTTTATAAAATAAAATCTGTTTTACTATTTTAAAAATAATAACTCTTATCTGTTTTTTAGGTAATAAAAATTTCATATGATTTTATTTTTTTTGCTAAAAATATCGATTTTAAAAAAATGAATATTTTTTTTCTAAAATAATTTTTAGTAATTTCACATTATTTTGTTTTTTTTTCTAAAAATATCAATTTCAATGATCCTTTTTTAGTGTTAAAAAAATAGTGATATTTCAATTTTTTAAAAAAATATAATCTAAAAATATTTTTTATTTATAAAACTAAAAAACTAAAAAAAGAAATATACATATATTTATAGATATTTTTTTTTTAGTTTCTATTTATATTTAATTTTTATTTTATTTGTAAAAAGATAATAATAAAATATATATATAAGAAAGGTTCATAGTTTTTTATGCAAACAATTTCCTTATTTGTAATTCTTTGGTCAAGATTGACAAAAATTTTAATACAAACATTACTTTTTTTATTATAAAAACTGAACACAGACTTTTCATCCATTCTTATCATATCGTTAAAATATCGTTAAACGTTAAACGTTAAATATTTATTAAATATTTATCAATGGCTTAATATTTAATTCGTGATTCGCGATAAACGGAAATAGATCTACATATAATCTCATCTATAAGAATATCGCAAGAACTATCTTATAAAAGTCCCTTTCTTCATTAAAAATCATAAAAAAAGCAATAGTTCTGATTTTAATATATTTTTAGTTTCAAATAAAAATGTTAACAAAATAAAGATATTACTTTTTTTTTTAGATTGAAAAATTAATTTTTATAATTGTGAAAAATCCATTCCGTTTCTAGCGAATCACGAATAGGTTTGATATGATTGGCGGTTTTATTCTATTAATAACATTCAAAAAAAAAAAGATTAAAAATTGTAAAAAATGGGAATTTTAAAAAATTTAGCAAAAAAACAAATATTAATATTTTTTTATTCTACTATATTATTAACAACCTTAACAATTATTCTAAGTTTTTTTATATGGATTACACCTTCTAATTTTTCATTTATTTATAATCATCCTTTTGATTCTTACAATAACACTTTAGGTTTTGAACATATTTATTGTATAAACCTTCCTTCTCGATCTGACAGAAAAGAAAAAGTAATTTCAATTGCAAAATTTCATAACTTGGATATTGATTTTATCGACGCGGTTGACTTCCAAGATGAAAAAATTCTAGAACATTATTTAGCAGATATAGGACCACGACATAAAGCATGTTATGCCAGTCATTATAAAACTTTCGAATTAATTGTATCAAATAATTATCAAAGTGCATTAATTTTAGAAGATGACGTAGACTTTGAAGTTGATATAAAAGATTTTTTAAATGTAATTCAACCATTTTTACCAAATGATTGGGACATGTTTTATCTAGGAAATTGTTATTGGGATACGTCAAATATAATTTATTATGAAGGAAAAGTTTACGGATACAACCTTGTACTTTCTAAATCTGTTAGTCCTGGTTGTTCTCATGCTTATGCGGTTTCTTTAAAAGGTGCACAAAAATTATTGGAAATGCTTGTAAATATAACGAAACCTTTTGATATAGCATTAATTGCCTTAATGGATGCGAATAAGATATTTTCACTTTCTTTATTTCCTTCAATTATCGTTCAATGGAAATCTCGAGATAATCCATCTGATGTTTCTCCTGGTGCTTTAGATAAACCTTATAAATTAAAAAATTCCACTTTAGACTTATTTGGTTACAAAAGAATTCCGTATTAATTTATTTATATTTAATTTTCAACACAATCGTAAAACTCTCATGAAAGAAAACCATCATCTATTTCATAACACAATCTACATGATATAATTAAAAGGATTCCATTATATAGATTTATTATTATTTTAATATTTTAATTATTGATTTATTATTTATTTATTTTAATTATTTTTAGAAATAATTAGTTGTTTTTAAAAAAAAAACAGATTTAAAAAATTAACAAGGAATTAAAGTTTTTCAAATCAACCAATGTTTTAATAACTACGTATCTTCAATCTTTGTGATTTTATTTCCTTAATTATTTGATTTTCTTTTTTTTTTATTTTAGAAAAAAAAATAATTAAAGATATTAAATGAATTTATTTATTTAAATTTTTAATCTAAATAATATAAATATTAGAAATATTTCTTTTTGATTTTTATGTTTTAATTTTTATCGTAAATTTATATATATATATATAAATCTAATTGTTCTTTTTTACTTTCTTAAATGTAATATTACCTTCTTTCTCCAAATTAATGCATTCTTTGGATTCAAGGAAAAGTCGAGAATGGTCATTTTTTGCATGATTTTGGATTTCTTTTTCCCAATCAATGCATTCTTGTAGTTCTTTAGAATCAATATAATAAGTTATAAAACTTGAAGTAGAAAGTAAAAATAAAGCTAAAATAGAATACGAATATAAAACATGGCTAATTTTTTAATGATCCTTTGCATAGCATAAAGCTGATCATCGTTGATCTAGATTATCAAAAACCCTAGAATTTTGATTTTGCAAGGAAAGATACTCAAAAAAAACTTATACAAACAATGTCCACTCATTTCTCTACTTTGTAGAAACAAGAAAAGTTGTTTCAACGTTAGCTGACCTAGTTAATGAGATGGATACAGATCAACTTATTGAATTTTTGTTTAATAAAAACTTAGGCCTGAGTCGAAACGATCTCAATATTCTTAATGATCAGGGGGTTTCCGGTTCAGAATTTTTACTTTTGACCGAGAAAAACTTCTAGAGCCACCATACAAACTTCCAGGAGGACCATCTGCAAGAATAGCAAACTTTATTAATAATCTCAAAGAATGTAAGTGTATTTTATATATTATTCTAGGTACATCACAATTATGTAAACTGATACTAAAAATTCTCTTCCACACTACATAGCAACCACTTCAAAACCTTCCACCGGACTTGTATCTGTTTTTTTTAGACAACTCCAACTTGTTTACCGGAGGAAGGTTTACTGTTGGTAATCTTGAGCAAGCAGGTACCTTTAATCACCAAAAAAATTCCTTCTACTTCAACCAACTCTACATCGACCTTGGTCATCTTATATAAACAGTACTTAATGGACGAGGAATGGGTGGTAATTCAGTAATTGTTGGCTCTCGTCCATCTCCAAATGATTCACTATGGAATCAAGATTATGATGTGGCTTTTAAAGATCGAAAACCAAATATGGAACTCGTGGCTTCAGCAGCAGAAATATACCACACTAAAGATCCTGGTATATTTGTTTTATTATCTGGTTGTGGTGGGTATAACCCTTTAATATTTAAAGCCGTCGAACGCAATTGGAAGATAAAAATATGGTCTTGGTCCTCAGGTATGAAATATTTGCTGTGTTTAAGTTACATAAGTTCTTTAAAGTAAAATATTTTCTTTCATTTGTATAAAGATATATCCAGTCGTTTCGTGAGAAAATCTTTTTTTGTATCCTTTGGATAATTTTTATCAACATTTTACATATGCATATGGACAAGCTCTCCCTGGAAAAAATCATACCCTTGCATTAACTGGTGAAACAGTTGGAAAATGGGGGAATGATGAAATTATGAAATGTTTTTGTTTCACTATAATTATTTGCTCGATGGTATAGAAAAGAAAGACAGATCATAAATTTGTACTTTGACAACAAAGTGAATTTGGGAAAGGCAATAAATTGGATGAAGTCTAATCATCCAGATTTAGAAAAAATTGCTATTATATAAATATTTTTTTAGATAGAAGTTCTTTCAATTCTATTTGAAATATTTATGTAATGTAAAACTTTATCATTTTATAGCCAAGAACGAAGCTTTTCTTTCTATCTTTGAAACATATTAGTAGACAATTGCTCTACGCTTCGTAAATCGCGAGCGAATTCGAAAAAATTTAATAAAAAAATTATTAAATTTAAAAATGCTAATTTTAACACAACGGGTGATCTAAACTGCACAAACTTTTTGTTTAAAGCTATCTGATATATTTATGAAAGCTTACATGTGGAGTAATCACACTTTAAATAAAACTGACAAAAAATAAAAAATTTAATCTTTGAAGTTACCCATACCAGATTCGATGGATATTAAAGATAGATGTCAACTATCTTACAAGAAATTATAGCCAAAATTAATATCTATAACTTTAATTAGAATGACTTTTCGCATTATCTATTGAAAATGTGGACTTTACTTAGGCGTGAATAAAAGGCCGAAATTTATAAAAAAATTTTAAAAAAAATAAAAAAATCCGAAAATATTTATCAATCGTTTCCACATATAAAAGTTTTTTATTTATTAAGATAATAATAAAAATAACACTAAGTAACATTAAAGCTGAGAGTATGTAGCATCTTATGTAAAGTATTCAGACATATTTAATTAAAATTGAGAGAATAATTAGCGATTAAATTCAAGAGTCGAACGTCCAGCGTATAACCGTTGATATTAAATTTAATTCGAAAGTAAAAATTCTAAAAGCTTTACAAAAGATTCTAAAAATTCGTAACTTTAAGATAATTAGTAACATATTTGCTATTTTATTAATGAATCATGAATATTTATATTTTTTTTTTGAATTCAACAGTAAATGATCGGCAATAATGCCTTAGAAATTTGCGCGGTGGGCAAATTTATCGTCGATTATTTTATCTTTGATATTAAAAAAAAATCTGAAAATAATTATTAAACGTTATTACATATTAAAGTTCATTATTTGTTAATAAACAACAAATATATTACTAATTAATCTTATAGCCATAAATATGGAGCATTATTTATAAAGTTTTTAGAATTTTTACTTACGAATTAAATTTAATATCAACGGCTGTACGCTGGACGTTCGAAAATTATATTCTGAAATTCAATCGCTAATTATTCTCTCAATTTTAATTAAATATGTCTGAATACTTTACATAAGATGCTACATACGCTCAGCTTTAATGTTGCTTAGTGATATTTTTTTACTATCTTAATAAATAAAAAACTTTTATATGTGAAAACTATTGATAAATATTTTCGGATTTTTTTTTATTTTTTTAAAATTTTTAATAAATTTCGGCCGCTTTTATTCACGCCTAAGTAAAGTCCAAATTTTCAATAGATACTACGAAATGTCATTCTAATTAAAGTTGTAGATATCATTTCTGGCTATAAGTTTTTGTAAAATATTGGTGTCTATCTTTAATATCCATCGAGTCTGTATGGGTAACGTTTAAAGATTAAATTTTTATTTTATTTAAAGTGTGATTATTCCACATGTAAGCATTCAATTTTGACATAAATATAACATATGATAGCTTTAGTTTAAGGGAATCTAATAAAAAAAAGTTTTTTTGCAATTTAGATCACCCGTTATGCTACAATTAGCATTTTGAATTTAATAATTTTTTTATTAATTTCTAGTTGCCCGGTGACTTTTGATACCCCACTGTACAATATAATATACTTAGTGTTAAGATTTTACAATTGAAAAATATATAACGTTAAATATCCAAATCATCATCACCACCACCTAATTAAAATGATTATAATATACATAAAATATAACTCTGTTGGTTCTTCAATTTTTCTTCATTTTGTTTCGGAAGATTTGAAAAATTGAGAAGTCTGCTGGAATAAATTGCTTGTGGATGTGTTTTTTTAATTCATTAGAGCTGTGTCAGTTGTTATTTGGTTTTCAGAAAAATTTCCAGCTTATTTAATTTGATTTGTAATTTTTTACTATTTTATTCTCATTGTTCCTCATAGTAGTTTAAACAACTCTTTTGTGAGTTGTGTAATTCGAAAATCCGTGTAATGATATTTTCGGTCAAAATCCATTACATATTTTAGAAGCCATGATACGGGGGAAGTCCAGTAATTACTTCATAAGCAACAAATGCAAATGAATAAACATCAACAGCCTTTGTACATTTTCCCCACTTAATGCTTCAAGAGCCATATACATGTAGAGTAATACTCCAAAAATAAATTTTTTCTTTTGGGATTTTTGATGTTTTCTGTAATTAGACTTCCACCTTTGAAATATTCTATCATCATATATCTGTGAGTTTCTGGATCTTTTATAATTTCATAAAGTGTCGTTGATGATAAGAATTTGTTCTCAAGAGAATTCCATCAAAATAATGTTTTTTAATATATTATATATTTTTAAATAATTTAAAATTACTTTATCAAATATAAAACATCTCCATTTATATCTACGACACCATCATATTTTTTCCATTATTGATTTTTAATATCTCACTGTATAATATATCCGTCAACCCATTTAGCATAATAAATAGTATCATAACCATCTTTTGCTATTTAATATCTTGAAATCTATCATAGTTGAGAATCCCGAATTAATTTATTTATTGTCCCACTTGTCCATTTATCAAAATCATTATTAAAATGACCAACAGTCATTATATTCTTGATTTCATTCGCATTCTTTAGGCATAGTAAATAAGGTAGAAGTAGAAGTTATTTTTAAAAAAAAAATCAAAAATAAATTTGCATCAGAATTTATGTTTAGATATGAATGAAACATCAAGATTCATTACCAAGCTTACATAATTAATTATTTTGCGCATCATGTGTTTGCTAAGTTTTAATTTCGGTGTACCAATCTTTTGTTGATAGAAATTCGGATTTCTTCTAGATATTTGATCTTCAAAATTGAAATCTAATCATTATTGTTGTACAAATGCATGCAAACCGGGTTTTATTTAATTCGATAATGTGTTGGAAATATTTTTAGGTTTAAACAAATTGAAAAAAAACGAGAAAATGGAAGAAATGAAAGAAACTGGAGAAACAGAAGAATTGGAAGAATTGGAAGGGTAGGCATATTGTTAGAAATTTTGTTTTAAAACCAAATTTATTACTAATAATAATTTTCATGTATTAAATTATATTTCTAATCAATTATAAACTAATTATTATAAATTATATTACAGTTAGTGAGTATTTAGATTCATAATTATTGAAATCAATGTTTCAATTTAATTCAATATCATATAACAATTCTCTGATCAATTATTAACTAATCAATATAAATAATATTACAGCGAGTGAGTACTTAGATTCATAATTATTGAAATCAATGTTTAAATCTAATTCAATATCATATAACAAGTCTTTAATTAATTATCAATAATACTGTATTTTTAGAAAGTGTAGTGAATGTCATCAAGATAATACTGGAAAAGATTGGTGCCATCCATGTAGTGTCAAACGATTTCAAAATGAATTTGATAAATGGACAAGTGAAGATAAAGAAATTGATAAATTTATCCAACAAATACAACTAATGGCAAATAAATACCAAGAGATTATTGAGTGGATTCCATTTTACGGACTTAAGAATGTCACATATCTTGCTAAAGGGGGTTTTGGCACGGTATACAAAGCAGAATGGCTTGATGGAAGTATTACTCTTTGGAATGATAAAGAAAAAAACTGGGACAGGTCCCAAAAGCTAAATGTTTGCTTAAAACGTCATGATAATTCCACAAATAAAATTGATTTTTTGCAAGAGGTAAATATTTCATCATTTGATTTATTTATTTTAAATATATAATAATTATATTTTATGTTAATAAATATTTAGATTAAAATCAACTTAAATTTCGAGGTAAAAATGCAATTGCAATATATGAAATCACTAAAAATCCAACAAAAAATGAATATATGATGGTTATGAAGTATGCAAAATATGGTAGCCTTCGAAAACTGTTGAATGAAAATTTTGAAGAATTAACTTGGCGAAGAAAATTTGATATTTTATCAACCATTGTAAATGGACTTACAAATATTCATTAAATGGACTTAATGCATAAAGATTTTCATTCTGGTAATATAGTTAATCAAACTTTGACTCTAAGTTATATTACAGATTTTGGAATGTGCAAACCAGTTTCAGAAAATGATGCAGATAAAATTTATGGTGTAATTCCATACATGGCTCCTGAGACATTGAGTAAAGGAGAATACAGTCAAGCATCTGACATTTATTCTTTTGGTATGGTTATGTACGAAGTTCTAACAAGTTATCCACCATATTATAATATTCCACATAATGAAAATCTTGCAATAGGCATTTTTGAAGGGCTTAAACCTGAAATTAAATGTGTAATTCCTCAATTTCTCAAAGAAATAATGGAAAAATGCTGGAATTTTGAACCTCTCAATCGTCCAACTGCTAAAGAATTGAAAGTTCAACTTGATAAATATGATTATGGTTGTGATGATGAAATAAAAAAACAAGTAAACAAGCAAGTCAAAGCAGCAAATAAATCAAACATGAATTTTATCAGATATAATCCAAAAAACATGCACCCTGAAGCAATATATACAAGCAGACATTTTTCTTTTCTGAAATCCAAGAAATTTGAAGCTAATACACATGGTAATTATTTATATTTTTTAACAAGAAAAATGAACTTTTTATAAAATATTTACATTTAACTATTATTTTAGATACAAAACAATGGGATTTTGAAGTTCCTGATGATATAAGTGAGTATAATATTTCTTTAATCATTTTTTTAATAATTTATCTAAATGAAACTAACAAACTTTAAATTTACATAGTTGAAAAAAATAAAATTCCAAAAAATTAAACCTTGTTGTCATTATGCAACCTTTGTATTTTTCCTAAAATATTTATTCATTATTTTATTATATTTTATTATTTTTTTTGATTACTGGAATTATAAAATGTAGCTTTGCTTAAATTAAAGCAGACCAGTATGTAATCATTTAAAATAAATTATTGTTAGCTTGATATCTGTATTTATACAGTTTATGAATTGTGCAGAGGTAAACTGAAAATCAATATAACTTTTATAATTGAAGCATAAACAAACAGTACAGATAATTGAAAATAAAGTATATGTATAGTTGGGTATCAAAAGTTACCAGACAACTAGAAATTAATAAAAAAAATTGCTAAATTTAAAATGTTAAAACAAGGTTCTAAATTACACAAACTTTTTTTATGATAAATTTTTTGTTAAAATTGAATGTCTTGTCTATTTGCAGAGACACAGGTCAAATATAAAAGAATTGTTGTACTGAAAAGGAATTCTGATTTTAGCTGATTTGTAATATGGGATGAAATAGGAAAGTCAATTTTTTTCAATTTTTAGCTGATCTATAATATAGGAATCACCATTCGGCATAAAATTTCTTTTGTATTTGACTAGTGAGAAAAATAAACTGTATGGTACAAAAAAACTATTTGTACTGTACGAATTGAAATTAATGTGACTGTACAGTTTATTTTCTATATACATAACACAAAAAAGGATTTATACCTGTGACCTAACCCTAACTTTGCCAATAACAAAAAGAAGTACAAATTTTATGGCTATTTTTTAAAATCATACAGTACAAAATAGCTTTTTCATACTGTAAAGTTCATCATCATACTGAAAATTTGTGAACCCTGAAGAAAAACTTACTTATATATTTTCAATAATAACACAGGTCAAATACAAAAGATATGCCATGCCAAAAAGGAATTCTGATTTTAGTTGATTTATAATATAGGATGCAGTAGGATGGTCGAGTTTGCTGATTTTTAGCTGATCTATAGTGTAGAAATCACCATTCAGTACAGTGATTCTTTTTTATTTGACTAGCATAAGAGGTATCAAATCATATAGTTTTAATGCAGGTTATTTATAAACTTTGACAATATATTTTTAAACATATGAACTAATATTCTATACACTTAATAAGTGCAAGAAAATATTTTTTTGGAAGTTCAGCCTCCTGAAGGCAATACAACAATACCAAAACTTAAGCAGTACTATTTCTTAAGAACTCAAACACAAATAAGTGACAAAATATAATTTCTTTAGAAAATGCAACTGGTGATAAATTATTCAGAACAAGTGATACTATTCAATGATGCCTACTGCAACTATTTCTTGAAAGTAGAAACTGTAATTAAATTTTTAATAGGTAGCTACTTGAACTGTATCCAGTAATGAAGAATTAATATGTATTATATTGGTAAAATTTCGATCATCAGAGGATTTTTGTATTTTTTTTACATTTTTTTGAGTTCACTCACGATTTTCATAGAATGGAGCGATTTTCTACTAAGACATTTCTAAGATAGAAAGAAAGATCTTGTTCCTGGATACAAAATGATATGTGTTGCATTCCAGCATCATCAATATTCGCGTTTAAGATATAAAATGATATGTGTTGCATTCCAGTATCATCAATAGTTGCATTTAAATTCGAATGTCCGTGAAAAATTTATGCCATAACTTTTCCATAATTCTGGTCAGAATTATGAAAAGTTCTAGAAAATTTATAACAGAAATTTTTCATGGAAGTTTGAATTTAAATGTGAATATCAATGTTATCAGGATGAAATACATATTATTTATAGTCAATAACAAAGCATTTCTTTCTATCTTAGAAATTCCTTAGTAGAAAATCACTCTACTTTCTGCAAATTGCGAACAAAGTTCAAAAATTACAAAAATCCTCTGTTGATTAAAATTTTACTGATGTAACACATATTACTACTTCAGTTACAGTCAATTACAGATTACTACTTTAGTTACTAGTTACTATAGTTACCTAGTGATGCAATTTGGATATCCATTTATTTAGGAATGAATAATTTGTTAGCTTTTTCACAGATACAAATATCTGTAAATATACAGTATATCTGAATACCTTTAATTAAATATCTGGATATCCTAAGATATCTGTACTTATCCATACCATACTTATTCATATTTATCCATGGATAAAATAAATATTTGCATAATATAATATTAATTTTTTCGTAACAAAATAAGAATTGGAAATGGTTGCTACATATAGAACATTTTATTATCATAAGTAAATATTAAAAACAGTACTAAGTAACCTCAAAGATAAGAATCTTTACATGTTATATTAAAAGAACAAATCTATATCATCAAAATTGAGAGAACTATTGACAGTTAAATTTTGAATAGGTGAAAAAGTTTATATGATAATTTTTCAATCTATTTTGATGATATATCTTTTCTTTAAATACAATACACAATTAATTCGTGTCTTTGAAGTTACTTAGTACCATTTTTGATATTTACTTACAATATAAAAAGTTTTATAAGTAACAACGATTGATGATTTGTATTTTTTTTTTTAAGTTCCAGTGAGGCCTTGCCTCTAATTTATTAGTTAGAAAAAGAGAACCCTTACATTACTTTTATATAATATAAAATACACAACTTATTCTAATAATTATTAAAAATATGAGACTCAGACTACAGGTCAAACACAAAAGAATAGGTATACTGAAAAGAAATTTCTATTTTTATAATATAGGAATTCCAATTTTTAGCTAATCTATACATATCAACCAATTTTCGGAATGGAAAAATATATAAAATAAAGGTATTTCAAAAAATTATAACGTGTGATCTGATCAAAAAAATAATGCAAATCTCGTATCAGCTTTAAAACACGTGTATGGAACAATCAAACTGACTGAAGAACTTTCCTTCAATCGTAACTTTGCGAAAGTATTTTTTATTGTGTATTTTTATTATCGTTTCCTAAGCCTGTAAATCTTGACGTTCTGCTTCTCGGTTTGTCTTGAAAGGGTTACACAACGATCTAATGTGCCGATCTTATGTTATCCAAAGGTTTCAGGATTAGAAAATTTGAAAAAAATATAAAGGTCTTAAACAAATTTGATAAAATAAAACCAACAATATTTTGTAAATTACGAAGAATGAACATTGTGTTACAAGGGCCGAACATAAATTTCTTTACGTTATCGTCAGAGCACTTATTTTGAATTGGACGAAGTTTAAGATTGAGGAAGCTAAAAAACGAAGTACTACTAAAAGTGTTAATTAATAATATAATTTTTTTTAAATTTAAAAATTTCATATTAATATAATTGAAAGGAAAATAAGGGTAGAGTTATCTATTTTATTTGACATCGGATTTCTGAAAATGTAAAATAGTGTAGTAGTATATATTAAGGATGAAAACTGAAGCTTCCCATGAGACAAAAAAAAAATCTTTTGATGAGTCATACCAAAACTTTATTGGTGATAAAGAAAGATGAAGATTACAATGTAATCATTATAGTTCAGAATAAGAAATCCTTTATAGCTCATTCTAATGTATCAAAGTGTCGGTCATATTTCGTAAAGAGTTATCATGAAGAATGGACCAATGAAAATTTTACATCTTGGATGTAACCATAAAAATATGGTAAACATTTTTTTTTTTTTAAGAAAATTATTGAATTCTCGTAGATCGCCAAGATTTCTTGGATTAAGTATGTACTTATTCTTTAACTAATACTTAATATTGATTTTCCGTAGAAGTATAAATAGGTTGATGTGATGATGGTGATTATGAAAGTCACAGGAACAGAACAGATGAAATATTTGAAAAAATCCAAATAGTAAAAATACTTGAGCACCAACAAACGATAGTTTCTCATTTAAAAATGAGAAAAGAATTGTAAGAACATACACAAGTGATTTCTTGAATCAATGATTAAGATAATTAACGACGACGTTTGTTTCTTGTATTACGTAATATATATTTATAAAAATTGACATTATCAAATACTTTAAATATTTGGAAATATTTTTATTTATATTTTATTTTTTATCGGAAAAAAAAATGTTTACAAAATGAAATTAGAAATCAAAATATTATTACAAGGTGAATAAAATAAACGAAAAAAAAATATTTTTTTTTTTTTTATACAAAAAAATAAAATTAACCTAAAAAGCCAAAAAAAAAAAAAGAATAAAAAAAAGGTTAATATAAAACAGAAAAAAAAAAGATTCTTTGTACATTTTTTTAATTACTAAAAATTATTGTCCACTGTTGTAATTTTTTTTTTATTACATAGGTTTTTTTTTTTTGAAAATTGGATTTCATGAATCAACACGAATTTTTGGTTGGTTTTTTTTTTTTTGTAAAAATAATCTATCTACTCAGGTTATTCATATATTCACATTATGTACATTCGATCATAACACATCCTCTTTCGTTTCTCTATTCAAGTCTATCATTTTTGTTTTTTTTTTAATTCTTATTGAAGAATGGATGATTCAATGCGTCATCCATTGATATACGTTTTAAGGGATCCATTTCCATTAATTTTTGAATAAGATCAATTGCGTCAGATGAATAAAGTTGAAATCGATCTTCCGGAAATTGTACCCCAGCACTAATTTGTTCACATATGGGTCTCTTGTCATCAAATGGATATCTTCCAGCCAAACTAAATATTATATAAACAAACATAATATAAATATATATATATATAATTAATGAAATTATTAATATAAAGTATCGAATAAAATAATAATAATAATAATAATAATTTACCAAACGTATAATGTAGCACCCAATGACCATATATCAGCACGTTTATAATTTAACCATGCTGCTTTATGTGTTTGATGGAATTGTCCCAAAACTTCCGGAGCTAAAATTAAATTAAATTAAATTAATAATGTTATTTATTATTATTATTATTATAATATATTATATATTATAATCATTTATTTACCAGCAAATGCAGGGGTACCAACAACTTGTAAACCGGAATGATAACCGAATTCCTTGGATAATCCGAAATCTCCAAGTTTGGCAAATCCTCCTTGATATAACATGATATTCTCGGGCTAAATATACAATAATAATTAATAACACATGACTTCTATGTACTTTATATATTATTACATATATATATTATTATATGTGTACCTTAATATCTCGATGTACAAATCCAGATTCATGTAATGCTTTAACGGCATGAAATATGGGTTTCATTAATTCTCGTGCACATCGCTCAGTCATTCGTCTACGATAAATTACGTCACTTAAATCTTTGTTGGCTAGAGGCATTATGTAATATACTTTATTTAATGTTTCCACTATATCTAAAAGTGGTACTAAATTTTCCTAAAATAATAAATAAATAAAATCAAATAAATAAAGTTAATTTATTTATTTGTATCGTGTAAATGAATATTAATAATAATAATAATAATAATAATAATAGTAATAATGATACTTACTATTCCTTCCATTCGTATCATCATTCGACCTTCATGCATTATTTCGGAATTTTTCTTTTTTTGTTTTTTATCGGCTATTTGAAATCGGCCTACTGAACAACTGAATTGTTTTTTTAAACATTTAACTGCTACTCCCGTATTCGTTTCAATATCAATTCCTACAAAAAAAAAAAAAAGGATAGAGATATTTAAATATAAATATAAATATAACAAAAAATAACAAAAAATGAAATTAAATATAAATATAATAATAATACATAAATATACAGTATATACCTTTCACAACTTTTCCATGATGTCCTTCACCAATATTTTCGTTTTTATCAATCAAATATCTTCCATTCAAAAGTCTAGTGAATTTGGATTTCTTTTCAATTTTTCCAATTGTCAAATAAGTTGGTTTTTTCGTTTTCAATTTGGCCGCGTTCATTCGTTTCTTGGCTGGATCATCATTCTTTTTATAATTAATTTTGTTATTATTAACATTAATATTATTTTGATGATAATGATGATTATTATTATTATCGACTACTGAATCGTCTAGAATTTCCTCTCCCTCTTTATTATTCTTAGTAACCTTTTTAATAAATTTGGTAACTTTTTTAATGGGATTCTTCTTTTTCGATTTTGTATCGAACTAAATAAAAATTCAAATAAAAAAAATTAAATTAAATAAATAATATTTATTATAATTTATTTCGTTATATGATTAGATACATACTACTTTTGTTTTACAATTCTCTTGATCAACAAAAAGTGTTTCATTTTCTATATCTTCCGAAACTTCAATTGTCTCATCATCATCATCATCATTTTGACTATTATTGCTGTCCTATAAAAAGGAAAAAAAAAATTTCAATAATAAAATCAAAAAAAAAATTTAATCAATTAATTAATTAATTAATCAGGAGAAGAAGAAGTGAAATTTTTTTTTATTTACTTTTTTTAATAATTGTTCACAATCATTTTTTTTTTCGCGAACAAACTGTGAAAAAAAAAATAAATTAAAAAAATAATTATTAATTATATAATTATTTATTAATTAATTAAAAAAAGTTTAAATAAATATAAATATAAAAAAAATAATTACCTCAACAAAACCACCTTCAATATCATCAGACAACGAATTACTTAAACGATCATCGATTCGTCTGATTAACTATTTATTAACAATGACGACGCGTAAAAATCGAAATATTTATATATATAGTTTAAATATTAAAATATTTAAAATTTGTTAATTAATTAAAAAAAAAATTTTTTTTTTTTTACCTCTTTAACTCGACGATTATTATCTTGACTAAGATCAGTATTTAAATTCGTTGACATGATATTATCCAAATCTTTTAATAAATCATTAACCCATCTTTCTAAACTTTCATTCTTTTTATAAAAATCACCTTTGGGATTGGTTACCGTGGGTTTTTTGGTTGATGGCATACAAATGGCCGAATCTAACCTTGGATCATTTTTTTTCGTCGTTTGAATTAAAGGATTTATTAAAGGATGAGGACGATGAGAAGTTGAAGAAGAAGAAGGGAATTGACGACCCTCTTTGTTTTGTTGTTGCTGTTGTTGTTGTTGTTGTTGTTGATAATATTGTTGTTCTTCCACTTTTAAAAAATCGGCCATTCTTTGTAAAAATTCTGGTGAACAAATTTCATTCGTATAAGAAATTAATATCGTCGAATCGTTGACAGAATGTTGTTGAATCAATGACATTTTTTGTTGTAATTATTATTATTATGATTATTATTATTTTTTAATATTAATTAATTGATTGATTTATTATTTAATTTAATATTTCAGTGGTGATACAATAATTATAATGGTGGCGTCGTTGTAATAATTCTTTTGCTAAATTCTCGGTTAATTCTTTGTTATTTCTTTTTCAATGCGAATAATTGAAGTCTGGCAAAAACGACATGTGAAATACAAATGCAGTCTGTTCGCTCGCTCCTTCTCTTTCTTTTCTTTTTTTAAAAAAAAGGATAAGATAATATATATTCTTTGTAAATAACTCGAAACCTTCAAGAATTTTCGAATCAAATCTCAATAATATTGTAAAAAATATATATAAGAATAATGTTATAAAAGGGTAAGAATTATAAAGTTATTGTTGCCACTGTTGTTGTTGTTGTTGTTGGGGAACAATGAGATTGAAAAAAAAAATAAAAATAAAAACAAAAATAATAAAATTTGAATTTTAAATAGTTTAAATAAAAGTCTAAAGATATAATATAAAAAAAAATACTACTTTATTTTGATATAGTAAAAAGAATTCTTTTTTAAAAGATGGATAATGATAAACTTTTTTTTAAAGATGGATAATGATAAACTTTTTAAAGGTGAATAATTAAAATAATAAAGAAAAAAAATATTTTTTTAAGAAAAAGGAGATCGAAAAATAATAAAAAAAAAAAAAGGATGTATTTAAAGAAATAAATAATAATATTGAATTGATTGATTGAATTTTTAAAATTTTTGAATTAAAAAAAAGTTTATTCTTTATATGCTAACTTAATTATTATAAACGTCCGAATATATGACTTCAAACTTCCAAGAATAACTTTTCAGTATGATCTGTTATTATTATTATTATTATTATTTATGGTTAATTATTATAATTATTAAAATTGATTTTAATTGAATCGAATGTTGATAATATAAATATTATAATAGTACGGTCTGATTATGTCTCGTGAAAAATTAGTTTTTTTAGTAAATCATTTAATATTTAAAATATGTTGAACGTTTTAGTGACGTATCTCCTTAAACTTCTTTTACGTATAATTATAATAATTATTATTATATAATAAGGATATATTGTATTTATACGTGAGCCCAAAAATAAAATAAAGTTTTTTTTTTTTTTTTTTAAAAAAAAAAAAAAAGAGGCAATTATGTTTAACGTTCTGATTTAGAAATAGATTTCCACTTCTTTCTATCGTTGTATTCGTCCGTTGGTCGTTCTTTCGTTCGTTGGAATATTATTAAAATATAATTAAATTAGAATTATGATTTGGGATGATAAAAAAAATTTTTTTCACGTTATTGATTGTTGTGTTGTTTGCCTGTGAAATTGTGAAATCGCAACTTGATAACTTATTTTTTTTTGATTATTATTATTATTATTATTATGATTATTATTATTAATTTCGATTTCGTTAAAAAGTTTAAAATCTAAACCTGCATAATAATTATAAATAATAATAATAGTAATGAAATAATACTTGATGAAGAGGAAAAAATTTTTAATAGTAAATAATAAAAATGCAAGCAAGCAAGCCAGCAAGCAAAAGTATACACACAAATAGTAGTTTTTATAAAAAAAAAAATAATAAAAATTAAGAAAGAATTTGATAATTAATGATTTAAGAAAAGAAAAAGAAAAGATAAAGTTTTTTTTTTAAAAAAAATAAAATAAAATAAAATAAAAGTAATTTTAAATGCAATTTTTAAAGTATTTAAGTAAAAATAAAATAAAGTGATGAAAAAAAAGAAATAAAGAAAAAAGGTAAAAAAAAAAGTAAAAAAAAAAAAAAAAAAGCGGGAGTGTGGCGAATAAAGTTTTAAAATTTTTTTTTTTTTTAATATAAAAGTAAAAAGTCGAAAAGCGTTTATATATAAATATGTTATATAATTTACATATGTATATTGTAAAAAAGTAATTTATTTATTTATTTATTTATTTCATCCATTTCATCCGTTTTTGTCTATTCTATACACAATATAAATATATTTATCTCTGATATGGAGTTTCAAAGGGTTTGAGAGTTTATTTTATTTTCTATAATTAAATAATATTTTGTATTTATTACTACTAACTAAACTAATATCTAACTAATGCTAACATTATTTAAAATATTATAAATATCATAAAAATATTAATACTATACTATTATATTATACTGTTCATTATTAAACTGTTCATTGAATGAACGGATTGAACACAAAACATATATAATACATATAACACATATGTATATATATATAATTTCACTCACATCACAAACAATAAAACTCCTCCTTTTATATATATGTATATTTATTGTTTAGTTTATTGATATTATCCAATGATATGCGTTGTATCATTTGATTTTTTGATATTTTTAAATATTTTTATTATGATTCTTTTATTATTATTATTATTATTATTATTATTATTATTATTATTATTATTATTATTATTATTTTTATTATTATCCATCACACTTCACCTTACCTTTTATTATCTGGTTATTTTTGCAATGAAAAACTTATCAACTGTTAATCCTGTAATTCGTCTATCAAATCTTTAATATCTTTAATGAAAGGGAAGAATGTCCATGTTGGTCGATGATCAATTTGAGTTATTTAGAAAGAAGATAGTATAAAAGGTTAAGATATTAGAAAAGAAAGAAAAGAGAAATATAAAGAGCATAGAAAGAAGAGAATGTAAAGAGTATAAAGAGTATAGTATATAAGAACGAAGAAAAAGTAGAAAGAAATGACGTGACGATATGAATGGAGATAAAAAAAAACCAAAAAAACTATTTTTAGTCAACACAATTGAAACTTTTATTCTTTTTTTTTTTTCTATTCTTCCCCGATTTTCTTCTCAATTAATCTTGTTTATTATTACCAAAATTTTAACAATAATTTTAATAATAATTTTTAACAATAATAAAATTTTCAATAGTAATTTTTAATATAATATTAATAATATTTTTGTAATTCGGGAATCCAATTAAAGAATGCAATAAACAACAATAATAACAATTCTAGTAATAATGATAGTAATAATTGTGATAGTGTAATGTGTAATAATGATAACAATTTTAGTAGTAGTGTAATAATGATAATAAATTTAGCCATTATTCGAAACAATAAGATCATAAAAATAGTCAATGGGACGAATGATATAAATAATAAATAAATAACGATAAAAAAATCCTCGTTGTACTCTTGTTATCACCCTGTTAATAACTCTTTGATGATTACTCTCGTCTTCGTTATCACGATCTTGTCACACTCTTATCATGCTCTTTGCCATGCTCTTGTTGATATACTTTCATTTGTTGTACTAAAGTATCATCAACTTAATTTTGTCATTCTCAAAAAAAAAAAAAAGACAATTTTTTTTTTCGTTTTATAATTCTAATTCTTTTTATTTCCAAAGATTTCATGATCGAAAATCGAACATTTTCGATTCATAATAATAATATTAATATATAAAAAATATTTTTAATAATAATAATAATAATAAAAATGAATAAATTACATAATTCATCTCATCATTTAGTATCATTTCAAGTAATTTAATTGTAATAGAATATTGATATGATAATAAAACGATAATATATAACGATACGATATTATAAATGACAGCCTCCAAACTTCAAACACGTAAGTCACTCTAAATTTAGTAATCGATTCGAAACACAGAAACACTTCGTGCATAGACTCTTACTCTTTTCTTCTCAACTGCTCCCCTTTAAACATCGAATCGCATATTATTACATATACCTACATATTCATCAATGCAAGTTCATATAAACATAATTTAGTAAATTTACTTATCTAATTATTTTTTTATCTAATTATTTTTTTATTCTAATTATCTAATTATTTTTTATTCTAATTATCTAATTATTATTTCAAAATAAATTCTAAATAAATTCCAATAATTAATTGCTGGCCGCTGCAAGTAATTAACAGTAGTGTTACACCGAGTACCTTGATGGTGGTGATTTAATAAGCAACATCATTTTCATCATTTTCAATGATGATGATGATGATGATGAATGATGAAAATGTTGGCATTTAATTTTTCGAAAAAAAAAAATTTTATTTATTAACAATCAATCATTATTACTATTATTATTATTATTTATTTATTTATTTATAATTATTATTTATAATTATTATTTATTTATTTATTTATTTATTATGATGATGATGATGATGATGATTATTATTATTAGATTATTTATTGGATAAAGAAATTCTGCAATAAAGACGAAATGGGGATCATTGAGAAAAATTAAAACAGCATAAATCTTCTGTCCTATCTTTCATATGTTTATATTTGTTTATATTTATATTATGTTTTAAAATTCAACAACAAAGTAATTATATCTCGATGATTCGATTCAATAAATTCAATTAATAAATATTCAATAGATATGAATTAAATAATTAAAATAATTAAAAATAATTAAACAAATAACGATAAACAATTATAATTAAATCGAGGAGAAGAATAATAGGGAAATTTGCAGCGTTACACAGTTTGACGTTACGAAAAAGGAATAGTGAATTTTATTTCCAAATTAATTGCTATTGTTTATTAATATTGCATCGCATTAGCTAAAGTTTCTAAAATTAATTCTTTTTTTTTTTTCATCAAATAAAAATTATTCTTTAAAAATTATTCTTTAAAAATTATTCTTTAAAAATAGATTCGTACCATTTTTTTAAATTAAAAGGATGTAAATCGATGAATTAAAAATCATAAAATTAAATTTAGATTTAAATTTAAAGAATAAGATTTCGATATTAAAGTTTACCACACACACACACACACGCGCTAAATGACTCTGCAATTAGAATTGCAATGAGATTTTTTTTTTCTTCTATTCAGAATTGCTTCTTTCATAATTACCATCTTTATCAATTTCATTACCTTTCTTCTTATCTTTGAATAGTTCTCGATTTATGCTCTCGAAATTTATGCTGCT